AGTTTTAGGTTCACAACAAAATTGAACAAGAAGTACAGAGTTCCCAAACACCCATTATCCCCCATACAGGTGCCCCCTCTATTGACATCATGCACCACAGAGATACATTTGTTACAATCAATGTATACATCATTATCACCCAAAATCTGTAGTTTGCATTAGAGTTCACTCTTAGAGTTTTCCATTGTATGTATTTGGACAAATGCTCAAAATATATGTATCCACCATTGTAGTATCATAGCGAATAGTTTCACTGCCCTAAAATCCTCTGTGCTCTGTTTATCCTTCCCTTTCCCTCTAACCCCTCGAAACCACTGACTTTTTTTTATACTGTACCCATAATTTTGCCTTCTCCAGAATGTCATATAGTTGGAATCATACAGTGTGTAGCCATTTTCATTGGTTTATTTTACTGAATGATATGCATTCTCCAGGTATTTTCATGAGTAATGGTACATTGAATATACCACAATTAGTTTATCCATTCACCTACTAAAGAATATTGTGGTTGTTTCCAAGTTTTGGCAATTATGAAAAAAAGCTACTATAAAATCCATGTGCAGGTTTTTGTAGAAACATAAGTTTTCATTTTACATAATTAAATACCAAGGAAAATTATTGCTGGATCATATGTAAGAGTACTTTTAATTTTCTAAGAACTAACAAGGAGAGATCAACCAAGATGGTGGCATATATAAACACCTCTATTTGCTGAGTCTCACAACCACATCAAAATTACAACTAAAACAGAACAACTATCATCCAGAACTATGGGAAAGCTGGCTGAGTGGAAGTACAACTAGAAGTAAACAAGAAAACGCATTGAGACTGTTAAGAGGTGCAGAGGTGCAGCACAAGCTAGCACCTGGGTATGCTGCTTTTTCAATCGGGAGGGAGATACGAGCTCCCACTTGCGCTGAGTTCCAGTGCTGGGCGAGACTTTGGGGGACCCAGACACATACAAGGAGAAGTTAGACTGTCTGGCATAGGGGCGGGAAAGCAGGGGTGGCTTTCTTCCAGACAGAAGGACTCGCAATGGTCTTTGTTCCTGAGCTGGAACCTCCCCAGTGCAGGGCTGACTAGTAGCCATTGTTGTTTGCTCTGCCCTGAAGATTCCCTGAGACTCTTCCCCATCCATTTTACAACCCCACACAAGCTGTGCACAGTGGCTTTTGCATATGAATGGCCAGTCCTTCTCAGCCTGTCAAACTGCATCTCAGTCAGAGAGCCCCAAAGCTATCAAAAGAAGGCACAGGCCAGCACCTCAGCCTGCCTTGCTTTATAAATGGGGCTCATCTGGGCACTTTCAAACTCCATGCAAAGAGGAGGAATGTGCATATCTCTCTGTAGATCCTTCTAAGTGGTCCCAGGCAGTGGCTGACTTTGCACCTCCTTGGAGATCCAAGAGCCAGTGTACCCAGTGGTCAGTGTGAGATCATCCAGGTTACAACTCTTCCCATCCATAAGTGACACACTCAAGGGGCAGACACAGTGAATACCAAAGCCCCACTGAAGCAAGTCCTACCTCATAAGGGTGTCTCCTACATAGCAACTCTCCCACTGTAGTCACAGCTTGTTCTTACAGCCAATTGGCCTGGATGTCAATTCCTTTCAGTGATACCAACAGCAATCAAGGCTTAACTACAACAAGACTGTGCACACAACACACAAAGGGATGCAACAAAAGTGTCCACCTCAAGTAATTGGGGAGACTGAACCACTGAGCCATACAGGACACCTAGCACACAAAGCCACTCTATCAACTCAGGGAAGCACCAAAATGCAGTGACAAAGAAACATGTCACAAATGAAAGAAATTGAAGAAAGCAAAACACTAGATAGTTCAAAACCATAGTTATAAGGTTACTCAAGACTTCTAGAAACCTCCGAGGAACTTGGTAAGACCTTCAAGGATCTTAATGAGAATGCCAAAAAAGAAAAAGGAAAAAAGAAAAAAAGAAGAGGAAAAGGACCAGTCAGAAATTAAGCATACTGACTGAAATAAAGTATAATATACAGAGATTCAATAGTAGACTATAGGATCCCAAGAATCAAGTCAAAGAATTGAAAAATGTGGAAGCAAAACACCCAACTGGAAGAGCAAAAAGAAAAATGAGTCCCAAAATATGAAAATAGTGTAAGGACCCTCTGGGACAACTTTAAGCCTACCAACATCTGAATTATGGGGGTGCCAGAAGAAGAGAGAGAGCAAGATGTTGAAAACCTATTTGAAGAAATAATGACAGAAAACTTCCCCTACCTGATGAAAGAAATAGACTTATAAGCACAGGAAGCACAGAGAACCCCAAACAAGAGAATCCAAAGAGGACCACACCAAGACACATCATAATTAAAATGCCAAGGGCAAAAGACAGAGACAGAAGCTTAAAAGCAGCAAGAGAAAAAGTTACCTACAAGGGAGTACCCATATGACTGTCAGCTGATTTCTCAACAAAAACTATGCAGGCCAGACGGGAATGGCAAGAAATATTCAAAGTGATGAATAGCAAGAACCTACAACCAAAACTACTCTACCCAACAAAGCTATCATTTAGAATTGAAGGTCAAATAAAGAACTTCACAGATAAGAAAAAGCTAAAGAAGTTCATCACCACCAAGCCAGTATTATATGAACTGCTAAAGGGTATTCTTTAAGAAGAGGAAGAAGAAGAAAAAGGTAAAGATAAAAATTATGAACAACAAAGTGACAACAGATCCATATCTATCAACAAGTGAGTCTAAAAATCAAATGAATAAAAATCTGATGAGCAGAGTAAACTGGTAAATGTAATAGAATCATGGGCATGGAAATGGAGCAGACTGACATTTCTCTGGGAGAATAGGGGGTGGGAGAAGAGATAGGACAAAGATCTTATATGCATGTATGCATTACCCATGGGCATGGACAGTAGGGTGGTGAGGGCCTGAGGTGGGGTGGGAACTGGGTGGAGAGGAGCTATGGGGGGAAAAGGGGAGGTACATCTATAATAATTTGAAAAATAAAGATTTAAATTTTTAAAAAAACTTCCAAACTGTTTTCCAAAGCGGCTGCACCATTTTGCATTCCCACCAGCAATAGAGTTCTTATTTGTTCCACGTCCTCACCAGCACTTGGTATTATCTTTGTTTTGGATTTTGGCAATTCTATTAGGTATGTAGTGATATCACATTGTTTTAAATTGCAATTCTCTAGTCACATATGATGACACTTACTTGACTTTGGTATATCTTTGATGAGGTATCTGTTTAGGTCTTTTTTTTGTGCCATTTATCCTATTTGATCTCTATGATTTGGTGTCTGACATTAATTTGGGAAAATTTTTGGTCATTATTGCTTCAAATATTGCTTTGTTCTTTTATTTCTTTTCCTTTTGATATTCTCATTACATGTATGCTACATTTTTTGTAATTAGTTGTCCCACAGTTCTTGGATATTCTGATTGGTTTTTTTTCTTCTTCTTCTTTGCTTTTCACTTTAGTCAGTTTCTGTTGTCATCGTCTCAAGCCCAGAGTTTTTTTTCCCCACAGGTCTATTAATAAACCTGTTGAAGGCATTTTTTCATTTCTATTATGATGTCTTTTTATTCCTAGATTTCTATTTTATTCTTCCTTAGAATTTCCAATACTCTGATTAAATTAGCCATCTGTTTTTTCATATTATTTATTTTTCCATTAAAGCCTAGCATACTAATATTAGTTGTTTTAAATTCAAGGTCTGATAATTCCAACTTTCCTGCTATATCTGACTCTGATTCTAATCCCAGTTTAGTCTCTTACAATTTTGTTTTTTTACCTTTTAGAATGCCTTGTACTTTAAAAAAAAAATATGGATATGATGTACTAATAAATGGAACTTTAGTAGTGCAACAGTAGTGAGGGAGGGGAAGCATTCCACAGTCCTAAGATTAGTCTCAGTCCTTTAGTGAGCCTGTGTCTCTGGACTGTGAACTTCACACATTTTTTTGTGTCCCCCCCCCCCTTAGGTAGGACAGAATGACTAGAAGGAGCTAGAGTTGGATATTTTCCTTCCCCAGGTGATTTAGGCTCTGGCAAAACCCAAGCAGGTTAGACTCTGATAAAATAGTTTCTTCTGAAGGCTGGCCTTTTGAAACAGAACAGAATGTTTTATCATACAAAATGGTTTCTATCTCCAACCCCTGCTGGAAGTACAAGGGGATTTTTCTCAGCCATTCACTGTGAGGATCTTGTTGAGCTCCTGGAAATAAAGCTCACAAAAGTGTAGGGACCTCACTATGACTGAATTGTCCTTGATATTTTAGGCCTGAGACTTGTCCATGTGGAGCATCCAGCAATTTGCCAATTATAGTTTAGATTTTCTTACTTTGGCACTGGTTCCTGTGGAAGTTTTTGTTCATGGGTTTCTGGTCTGGTAGGTTGAGATACTCTGTATTCGCCTCTCTCTCCAATTTTGTGGGTAGCTATTTGCCCTATTATTTTAACTATCCTGATGAATCAACAAAGAGCTATTGAGTTTTCAGTTTGTTCAGTTTTTTATATCTTGTTAGGATGGAGTGGCAACATCTAAGCTATACTAAAAACCAAAGTCTTCTGTCTTCATTTTCATATCTATCTTTCCTCTGTACGATCAGTCAAGGCTATATTTTTTTTCCTCAAAACAACTATTAGCAGAAATATTGTGTGGACAATCATTAGTTCAAAATATTTTGCTCTATATATTCTTATTACAGTACTCCTATCATTTAGTGCAATTGAAATAAAACCAACTGATGTTACCTGAAAATACCTTAGTTATAACTGGGGTGAAGAAAATGAAGCATGATAAGAACTTTCATGTGAATCCTATGTTCATTTGCAGAAATGGGCCTCTGTGCTCTTGTGTCTATCCCTTGCTGCCATGGCCAACTCAGACCCAAAGTTTCTCATTGAGGGACGTTTTATACATGTCAATTTCATGGTAATAAGATGAGGCACAAAGTAATCTGGATATATGGTTTCACTACTTTATATTGATTGTTTAGCCTTAGTATCACAAGCAGAAGCTCTGAAGGAAGAAAATGACAGCCTCCGTTGGCAGCTCGATGCTTATCGGAATGAAGTAGAATTACTTAAGCAAGAACAAGGCAAAGCCCAGAAAGAAGATGACCCAAACAAGGAACAACAGTTGAAACTCCTGCAACAAGCCCTTCAAGGAATGCAACAGGTAAATTAATTCTGGCTTTTGAACCTTTTGAATAAACAGCATCAGCTCCTCACATGTAAAAGAGTCCCCTGTGAGCAAATCTCTTATAATTCTTGATGTTCTGTTTTCTGGCATAGGTGAGGAAGGGATTATATGTTGTGGTAAATGATATATTTTGCTAATACAGTGATAGCAACAGATCGCCAATTTTTAAAGAATGAAAATTCAGTGAAAAATAATAAAACTACACTGAACATAATCTACTTTGATATCTGGGAAGGACCTCAGGGTCCTTAAGAACCACCGACACTTAGTTATAAAAAAGTGCTGGGGGGTAAGTATCTAGTTGAAACAAAGCTGAAAAAATACAGCCTTTTAGAAGAAATGGCAGGAATCCTGCCCTTGATTTGGGTAGAAGCAGAGGTGTTATGGATTTTTTAGTATCAGTGCTTCAGGCATATAATACAAATTTGCTTTTATTTTATTTTGTTATCATAGTCATTTATGTGAGTGAGTTTACCTGCACATTTTTCAGTTATAAAAAGTAAACTAAATAAGTGTGTCTCACTGTAATTGCATAAGTACAACATTGTGTAATAGATGTTCAATATCTAGAGGTTTCATGTAATCAGCACCACAGTGAGCCTACAATTTAAAAGATATCAACAGCTGTTCTTATTATAGTAAAGGAGTAATACTTCTAAGTATACTTATATATCCTTAAGAAGTATATACCCTCTTCTATCTTGCCAGACTACTGTTCATTTTCCTTACAACTTAAATTGTGCAATAATATTTAATTGTATGCCTTGGAATTATCTGGAGCAAAGTTTATCGCTGGTTGGAAAAATTGTAAATAGGTAATCTCTTCTGGCACTAAGATCCCTATATTCCTATTACTTATGCTACCATTGTCTTCGTGTGTGACAAGCAATATCACATTAATATTTCACCTTTCCTATTAGCAAAATGTGTGAAGGAACACTTACCTTTCTTTTACTGTCACCATGGAGTTTAATTAGAACATGCAAATTACATCAGGGATCTTTGTACCAAAATTGCATCTCCTCAGCTAAACTTCAAAGAACTTTGACGATGTACATTGTACTGTGTCTTTTAGCCCTTCAAATGGTCTTTTGCAAACCTCTGAGAAGCAAGACTTTGGAAGCATTTTCTTGTTGTTTTCTTCTCTTACCTTGATTTTGAAACCATTCCACATTAGGACAGTTCTGCAATTTAAGTGCAATTTTAAAATGATGAGCTTTTTTTTTTTAACTTTATCTCTTCAAAGACCTCAGTGAGACAATTTGGTCTCTAGCTACTGAAAATTTAATTTTACTCATTTTGATTACTTGTATTAGAAAATAGCCTTATAAACAATTATAAATTTTTTCCCATATTGTCCCAAAATGGTGTGTAATCTAATATGGGGGTTGCAAGATTGGAATATAAGGTTTGTTCCTATATTATTCAGTGGCAACCTAAGTCTAAATCCCAACTTTGCCACTGAATAACCTTAGACAAGCCACTAAACCTCTCTAAGCCTCAGTATTATGTATCAAGGGAAAATTGTGGGATTTAAATGAGATCATGCATGTAAAACCCTTTGCCCAATATTTGGCACCAATAAAATGCTAAATAGCTAATATATGTTATCATCATAAATTATGATGAATCTAGCCCCTTGCCTACCATTATTGAAACAAATATTTTTGAAATTTAGATTTTTTACTACTCTTTTCAAAGAAATTGAATTTGACTTAGAAAATGACTATTTGCAAGGATGCTTTCCAACATCTAATTCAGTGTGTGTAGCAATCAAAATGTTGTCCACATGGAATTAACTGCACTTTTCCCTTATACCTGGCAGGAATGGGAAAATTAAGTGATTAAATCAGTCAGTTCCTCAGACTCTAAAATATTAACAAAGAATGTCCATCAGAGTCAAATAAAAATAACTTTAAATAAAAAGTATCTTGATTTTCCCTTTAGTATCTCTGCATGGAGAAATGATTATGTGTGCTGGTGTAAAGTGAGGTAGACCAGCCTAATGTGTAATTTCAGCCAAGGTTTAAAGTGAAGTGTGACTCCTTAAGATTTGATTGTCTTTGGTTTTTCTTGTAGCACCTACTCAAAGTCCAAGAGGAATACAAAAGGAAAGATGCTGAACTTGAAAAAATCAAAGATGAAAAGTTACAAGTGGAAAAAATGTTGGAAAATCTTAAAGAACAGGTACATGAGTTCTAAGTGAACCTTTTCCCTTGCCCAATTCACTTCTTTCCAGTGACAATGAAAATGCCCTGGAAGTTGCTGCAATAGGAAAATATTTGGAATGTGGGGCTGATTGGGGATAAAAAGCCCCATCTCCGGGGTAATTCTTGAATCAAGGGCTCTGCTTTTACCAGTAAGTGTGAGTCCTTGACATTTCTAAGTATTCTGGAGAGTATGCTTTTCAAATCAATACATCCCTAAAATTCCTCAGTATTCTGTCTTGGAAAAGACCAGTGTACACCTCATCTTGTCAAGACCAGGATGCACACTTCATCTTGTCAAGCAAATAACAATACAGAAAACTCCTGTGACACAGAGTACCTTTAATTAAGCATTTCATTAAAGGAAGAAACACAAAGCAACTAGAATACTGACATTGTTTTGCACACACTCCATCTAGTGCAAGCATGTCAAACTCAAATGAATTAATGTATCACAACCATGAATGAGGTGACCAGTCTATTTAAGGTTGTATAAAGTCTACTAATGGTGTCTCCATCATTCCTCTCTAATTTCTTTTTTGCCTGAACATTCTTTTATGCCTGAAGTTATTCTCTTAAAAAAAAAAAAAAGGCTCATTGACCAGAATTGATTGATTTTAATGTCTTAAAAGGAAGAGAAGCCCTGGCTAGTTTGGCTCAGTGGATAGAGCGTTGGCCTGTGGACTGGAGGGGAGGAGGTGGTCCAAGGTTCAATTCCTGTCAAGGGCACATACCCAGGTTTCAGGCTCGATCCCCAGCAGGAGGCAGCCAATCAGTGATTCTCTCTCATCATTGATGTTTCTGTCTCTCTCTAAAATCAATAAAATATATTTAAATTAAAAAAAAAGAAGGAAGAGAAGATTAGGATCTTATATCAACAGTGAAAAATCAACAATGCTATAGATCCACAAAAGCTTATGCTTTTTATTTTGTATATCAGCTCCGAAAGATGCAATGCATACAGGTGTACTGGGTGTGTGTGCCATCATAGTGACTTCCCACGAAGTACCATTAAGAACTGGCAACCATGGTGTAGTTGAAACAAATGATTAAAAGTGTTTTCTTCTGGATACCATTTGCAATATGCTTTTTTTTCAATTTTTTTCTTTTTTTATTGTTTAAAGTATTACAAATGGTAGTACATATGTCTCCTTTTTTTCTTTTTTTCCCCAATTGACCTTTCCCCAGTATCCCCTACCTTTTAATTCATCTATTTCATAATATCAAATCACCTTCCAGTTTGTTGGTGCTATTAAAGAAACAAGCATAATACCAGAGAAATTCATTTATTAAGCTTTTAATTAAAAAGTACTAAAGCAACTCTATTTATCAGGACTTTCCTTATACTATCAGAGCTTCTAAAATGTCCCAGAGCTGATACATAGCTGTTTTGCTTTTTGCATAAAATGGAGTGTGTAGGCAGAAGACTACAGATAGACATGGGATTATGCTAGTGGCATTATGCTTAAAATCACCCTTTAAGATTGACATCACAAATTGACTTAAGGGCATTTTTAGTAATTTATTGTAAACAGCTTCCTGCTTTGTAAAGTATTTCGTTTAAAGAGGCAAAAGGTCAAATTACATAGAAGAAATTTGCCATATTGTATGTATCTAAGTGTTTCCCATTCTGAAACTGGGTACACCATGATATACAAACTGAAGAGGACAAGGAAAGAAACCCAACTGATAATCAGGAAAATGTGAGTCAGAATATGTTTTTCCTGTTGGTGTTTTTTTTTTGTTTGTTTGTTTGTTTTTTAAGTAAAACTACTTTCAGAAAAAGTCACAACAGTTCATTATAAACTGTCCTTCTCTGGGAAGCTGATTTGTGATCAAATATTTCAACCTGACACAATTAGGTTAGAAGCAAAGTACCATCACATTAGATTGCAAAAGTAATTTTAGGTTGAAAGGAAAACAATAAGTTCTGGTGAGAAGGGATAACTTATATCTGCTTTACCACAAAAAGAACTACCTCTTTCAATCTACTAGTAAAACTTAAGGTGATAAGTATCCATTCAATAGGCCTTCTAATTTCTTAAATGCCAGCTATATTATAAAACTGAAATCAAGTTTCAGTAAGGCTACATTTCTTTTTAAGATGGCTAGAACTTCTCAGGATGTCTTCATATCTTAAATCACCCAAGATCTGTTAAACACTTACACTTAAGAACTGGCTTACCAGATCATTTAATGTTTTAAGAGGATTAGAAGCAGATGTACAGCCCATGGCTAAGAAGTGAGCCAGTAGTCTAAATCAAACTTGGCATGATAGTTACTGCCTGAATTGTATTCTAAAGGACAAAGATTGAGTAGGTCATCAAGAAAGATTTCCCATCTAACTACAGCCAGGAAGCCTATAAATCCAAAAAACAACATACCTGGCAGCATAGAACATTCGTTTTGTTCAGGGGCAGCATCCTAGAAGCTTTGAAGACATCTCTAAAGAAAACAGAAGGAAATCTGTCTGTGCTGAGGGCTTGTGGCAGGGGAAAAGTGACAAATAATCTGAGTCAGGCATGATCTTCCCACCCCGATCTCCCCTAGGTGCATATTCCCAGCATTTCCTTTTACAATCGCAGTGATATTGAAGCAGTGATTTCTTTTATTCCTTATTATGAAGGCTTTCCTTCACATTTATAATACAAAAAAATATATGTTCTCAGTACCCAAAGAGAGAAAGAAAGATCCATGAAAGATCTGGAGGTATTTTTCAATTTTACTGCTTGTCATGAATTTTACGAATATCTCTTAAGAAACATGCCTGCTCTGCTCAGAAAGAGGAAACTTGCAATAATAAAGAAGGCCACTAAGTAATGATATTTTGAGTCATGGCCATTTCTTGCTGTCAAGTCAGGAATATCCTTACTGATAATGTCCGAGAGAGAGAGAGAGAGAGAGAGAGAGAGAGAGAGAGAGAGAGAGAGAGAGGAGAGAGAGAGAGGATAATCAATAAATGGATACTCTGTGTTTTAGTTTAAAAGCCGAAAGTTGATTGCCTGCAACTGGATTAGCTAAATTATAGTTTCTCTATTCAGAGATGGTACTTACCTTTAGCAGAATGTGGGCCTAAAATAGGTGGGGGAAATGGTCCTTTTAACAGTGGATGGGTTGGGATAAAATCTAGGCTAACACTTCCTAGCAATGGAATCTTAGGCAATTTACCTATTTACCTAATTTATCTGAGCTCCACTTTTCTCATTTGTAGAATAGTCATAATGCATGCCTAACAGTGCCTGGCATCTAGGAAACAGTAAATGTTGAGTCTGGTCCTCCAAATACTTGTATAGAGTGAATGATGAAGGCAGAAAACTAAAGCTGGTAAAGATGATTGTCTAATTTTTTCCACTCCCTTATGAAGCCATATTATAAAGGAGCTTTGGATTATCTGGAATGGTTTTGTAATTTATGCTGTTTTCCTTCTTCCCACTCAATAATCAAAATGGGACAGTATTGCTTTTAGGGTGCTGTGTTACAGAAGTTTCCTGTTGTGTAAGTGAACACAAGCCTGTTATCAAATAAGGTAAACTGACTCAGAAAGCATATTATTTCCACAGGAAAACTGTGCTTCTAGACTGTGTGCATCGAGCCAGGATAGTGACTACCCTATTGAGAAGACCTTGAACAGCAGTCCTATCAAATCTGAACGTGAAGCACTGCTAGTGGGTAAGGAAGCTAACAAACACACACATACAATGTTTAGAATGCATTGCAGAGGAGAATGGGTTTGCATAAGATAAAAAAGCACACACCACACATTTATGAAGCATGACTGAGTCCTGAAAACTACTGGATAAGAACAAGTACAGATTTCAATTAAAAAATGGTGACAGCAGCTCCCAGCCCTCTTCAAGTTTTTTGTGGCCACTGCCACATTAAGTGTGAAGGTATAAGCACTATGCCAATAGGGGATCCACTAGAGAAACACTTTGTAGATTTTTTGAAATCTCTATGCAAGGTTAGCTGAGGCTTTCCAAGTTCTAGTCAAGGGACAGTGCAGACACTGCATAGCAGAGAGCTTTTCCAGGTAAGCCTCCAGAGGAAGTGTCTACCTTATAAATATTGTCTCTTCCATGTCCAGCGTGCCTAGAGAGTGATCTGGTTCCTGAATAGGGGTGACAGGGAATTGAGAAAATGAAAGAGATAGACACTAATTAAAGGGAAAGCTGGGATTGGGTGGGACCACTGTCCTCTGATGGAGAGACAGGGACCCAGAGCCAATACAGCATGTTAATTTTATACAGTAAAAACCAGGAACTTTTACTAAATGTCAAGACAAAGGAGATTATGTGCATTCTTGAGTGGGCCCAAGTCATATTCATTACTGGTGCTTGGCTGGATTTAGATAACGAAACTCACCCCCTGGCACCTGGGCTGAAGGTCAAGTTAACAACACTCCTGCCTCTGGCAAGGCTTGTTTCCTGGACGGCTCTGCCAATGCCACTGGATTCAGCTAACAATAATTAAAGAAATGCTCATGTGCCTTCCCAGGCACTCTCCACAATACCTCTCTTAAGTTTTTCAGGTTACAAGCAGTTGACTCAAAAGGCTGTCTATAAGTGTTGGACAATAGTGGACTAAGATGCAATAAATGTTAGAATTGTTCTCTTTACATAGAAATTCATTCAAAGAGGCAAGATAGCACAAATGGTTAAGGAATCAGACAGACCTGGCTTCCTGTTTTGACTTCACCATTTCCATCCTGATCTTCAGTTCTTCTATCTGCAAAAAAAATAATAATTTAATTTAAAAAATGGGCATAATAATATTACCTATTTCAAAGGGCAGCTATGAGTATTAAATACAATATTTCTTCTAAATCAGTTTACATAATACCCAGCCCATATTAAGACCTTCATAAATGTAAACCATTTTGCACTTAACAGCACTATTCACAAATGCTTATTTACTTAAATTCCATTTAGAGAACAGTGTCAGATTGAGATCCTATGAAATATTTTGTCATTTAAAAGAGGCTGATCTAGGGCCTCAACAGATAATCCTAGCTGCCTTCTAGGAAGCTGAGCCACACAATAGTGCCATCCCTCTCTCAAAAGTTCTCCACACTGATCGGCTTCTGCATATTTTTAAAATATCTACATCCTTTGGTAATGGATATTATACTTGGATTTAACAATTTGATATTTTAATAAAGATGTGCTGGGGGATCTGCCATTGAACCTTCGAGAAAAGTGACAATTTATTTTCATTTTCCAATTCAAAGTTCTTTAACAAATTGGCATGGCAACTCTGAGACCAGTCAGAGAAAAACTGGGGGTAGGAGGAAGCTTCTGTAAATGGATAATTCTAGAAACAGATTCTTAAGATAAGTGTTTCTTGTTTTGTTTTTCTAAAGAAGTCTTGGGCTTACAGAGAGAATGGAAAATCTATTTTTTAAATTGGCTCTTTAGGTATGAACCAACAAAAACTGCTCAGTGTTTTGAAACGGATGGAGTTGTTTTTTGGCATTTGACAGCCTATCTTCACCAAAGCATCTAGAATTCCTTTGAACATGGGCTGTCTTCTTCGGAAATTAAGTTTCTCAGCTTGAGTCAGTGTTTGTAAATTCAATTTGCCTTGTCATTGAAGAATAAGGGAGTGTTATAAAGTAATAATATTGGAGAATCCAAGATGGCTGCTCGGGTAGGCACCTAGCCGCAGCCGCTCGCAACAATTTCAATAAAATACAACTAAAATATAAAATGGACATCACCCAGAACTACAGGAAAGTCAACTGACTGGAAATTCTACAACGAGAAGCAAGGAGATAACCAGAAGGAAGCGCGGAGGAGCTGGAAAAGCCCAAGGTACGGAGACACGCAGTGCGCGGAGAGGACGGAGCCGGAGAGGAGGGAGCGGAGTGCCTGGCGGGCGTTCCCTGGTGGGAAGGAGATAAAAGCTCCGACTGTGCTGGGCCCCCGACTGCTCTGAACCCCAGGCCTAGGCCAGACCCGGGGGACCCAGGCTCACACAGAGGGAGCCGGGCTGAAAGGCGGAACCCCGGGGAAGAGGCGAAAGGAGGTACCGGCGGCGCGGCGCAGAGAAGGGACGGCCAGCTGTGCCGCGGGATGGCCTGGCGGGAAGGAGACAGGGGCTCCAGACTGCTCTGAACGCCACCTCCAACTCCACTTCCAATTGAACTGAACCCCAATACCGGGCTCATTGGGGGAGAGACTAGACTGTTTGGCAGCAGGCGAAAATCAAGGGTGCCTTTCTCTCAGAGGCGCCTGCAGCGAGCACTGAAGGACCCTGAGTCTCAGGAGTCGCATAGGGCGGGGCTGACGGAAGCCAAAGCTGTAGGCTCCACCCTGAAACCCCGCCCCATCAGGAAAGCTGCCTGCGAAAATGCCTAAACCAAATAGATCATAAACGAAAGAAATGGAGGACAAAAAGCAACTGGATATAGAGTTCAAATCTACGCTTATAAGGTTTTTCAAGAATTTCCTAGAAAAGATGGATAAGACCTATGAGGATATGAAAAGTGATCAACTAGAATTAATAAGGAGTCATCAAGATATGATAAGGGATCAACAAGAAATGATAAGGAATCAACAAGAAATGAAGAATACATTGTCTGAAATAAAAACTATTATACAGAGTCCTAAAAACAGAATAGAAGATCGCAAGAATCAAGTCAAAGATTTGGAACATAAAGAGCCAGAAGAAACTCCTCTGCAGAAGCTAGAAGGCAAGAAAATCCAGAAAATTGAGAATCAAGTCAAAGATTTGGAACATAAAGAGCCAGAAGATACTCCTCTGCAGAAGCTAAAAGGCAAGAGAATCCAGAAAATTGAAGATGATGTAAGAAACCTCTGGGACAACTTCAAACGATCCAACATCAGAATTATGGGGGTCCCAGAAGATGAGAGAGAGCAAGATATCGAAAACATATTGAAAGAAATAGTGACAGAAAACTTCCCCCACCTGGGGAAAGAATTGGACTTACAAGTCCAGGAAGCACACAGAACTCCAAATAAAAGGAATCCAAAGAGGACCACACCAAGACAAATCATAATTAAGATTCCAAGAGCAAAAGACAAAGAGAAAATATTAAAAGCAGCAAGAGCTAAGCAGGTAGTTACCTATAAAGGAGCACCCATACGATTGTCAGCTGACTTCTCAACAGAAACCATGCAGGCCAGATGGGAATGGCAAGAAATATTCAAGGTGATGAATAGTAAGAACCTACAGCCAAAGATAATCTATCCAGCAAAGCTATCACTCAGATTCGAAGGTCAGATAAAGAGCTTCACTAATAAAAAAAAGCTAAAGGAGTTCATCACCACCAAACCAGAATTATATGAATTGCTGAAGGGGGTTCTTTCAGAAGAGAAAGTAAATAAAGATAAAAATTATGAACAACAAATACGTAACTATCAACAAGTGAATCTAAAAACCAAGGAAATTAAAAAAAAATCTGAGGAACAATATTAACTGTTGAATATAATAAAATCAGAGGTATGGAAGGGGAGTGAACTGATGATTCTTGGGGAAAAGGGGAGAGGGGGATATGGGAAGAGACTGAACATAAACTGTGCACCTATGGATGAGGACAATGGGGGGTGGGGAAAGGGAAGAGGGTGGGGTGGGAAGGGGGGGGAAGGGACATTTGTAATAATATGAACAATAAAAATTAAGAAGAAAAAAAAAAGTAATAATATCTATTTTGAAGAGATTTTGAGCCCTATATCAGTTACTTCTAGATTCCCCAACCTATTCCTATGACATCTAATACTGGGAAGATTTTCACAAAAAACTAATTTGAACTTCAAACTACAATTTAAACTTATGATATTCTTTGTCAATCTCTAAGAGGGACAGATAAGTTGGAGTTTATGAACTAAGTCATATTTAGCTTTTATTTCCTGACAGTTTTCAGTAAATTCAAGTCTGGATCTATTTGAGATATCTAAGATCTTGTAAAAGGATGTAAATTTTTTTTAAAATGTAAAGAAAGAGATAGTAGACTTTTGCCGGGACCGGTTTGGCTCAATGGATAGAGCGTCGGCCTGGGGACTGAAGGGTCCGGGTTCGATTCCGGTCAAGGGCATGTACCCTGGTTGCGGGCATATCCCCAGTAGGGGGTGTGCAAGAGGCAGCTGATCGATGACTCTCTCTCATCGATGTTTCTGACTCTCTATCTCTCTCCCTTCCTCTCTGTACAAAATCAATAAAATATCTTTAAAAAAAAAAAAAAAGATAGTAGACTTTTGAACAAAGGGAATATTAAAGCAATTAACCTGGTGGACAGAACAATCAAGACAATATGTGAAGCTGCCAATCACCCCATAGTTATGCTGAGTAAAACTTTTGATCATTCCTGGAAGCTATAAACTGCCATGAGAATTCGGAGATTCAGTGCTTTGAACACAAACAAAATGTTAATGATCACTTGAGCAGAAAACAAAAGTTTGACTTATGGAGATAATCACAGACTAAAACTCAAATATAATCAGCAAATTCTCTTGTGCGAGACACACTGTAGTCAGGCAAGGTACTTCTACCACAACAATACATTATTAATGCAGAAGAGGCTACAGTCCAATTTAAAGACTGTTCAGAGGAATTTTAAAAACTCAGCAGATCTAAAGTCATTGTAAAATTCTAAGTTCCTTGTAAAATGTAGAACTCAGATCACCTTTAGCCATCAAAAATTATGGAAATTCATTCTCAAATGTCAGCTTTTCTATACGTTATATAGTGTAGTGAGAGGCAGTATGTTAAGAGTGATTGGGTTCAAATACTAACCCTGCCACTTACCCGCTGTGTGACCTTAGACAAACTGCTTAAATTTTCTGTGCCTCAGTGTCTCCTCATCTATGAAATGGGGATGGTAATACCTATCTCACAGGTTGTTGTAAAGATTAAATGAGTAAAATAGATGTAAACTTAGAATAGTGCCCAGTACATAGTTATTGTAACTCACAGCCAAAAGAGGCATGTGGCCCGCCAGCCACGAGTTTGACACGCTTGTTGTACATAATAAGTTAGCTCTTGCTATCCATTATCATGTGGTATCTCAAGTTTAACCTCCATGGTATTGTCTTTATAGGGATTATCTCCACATTCCTTCATGTTCACCCATTTGGAGCAAGCATTGAATACATCTGTTCCTACTTGCACCGTCTAGATAATAAGGTATGTGGGAGCCTGGAATGGGATGTAGAGTTCTTTGTGAAGAGGGGAACTTACTCTCTTCACACATAGATAAGTCATTAGTAATTGCTCTAAGAAAATGTCCCTCACCTATTCTATCACTGTGATTCATTGTGAAGCCTCATTCTGGCAAGTAGGGTGACCATCTATCTCCGTTTGTTTTGGACTGAAGGGTTTCCTGGGACTTGGGACTTCCAGTGCTAAAACTGGAGAAATCTTGGGAAACCTTGAATAAGTTGGCCACCAATCTTCCAAGATACACCTTAAAAGAATTAATGTCCTTTCTCTTAATTTACTTTAAGCTATAAATTAACCAATATTTCTCATAAACCAATCCTTTGCCCTGGGCCTATAACAATGAACAAATGTAGCCGAAACCAGTTTGGCTGGCTCAGTGGATAGAGCATTGGTCTGCGGACTGAAAGGTCCTGGGTTCGATTCCGGCTAAGGACATGTACATTGGTTGCGGGCACATCCCCGGTGGGTAGTGTGCAGGGGGCAGCTGGTCGATGTTTCTCTCTCATCAATGTTTCTAGCTCTCTGTCCTTCTCTCTTCCTCTCTGTAAAAAATCAATAAAATATATATTTTTTTTAAAAATGAACAAATGTTAATTTTCCAAATTGGAAGTCTTACTCCAACCATCACCATTACCACTGCCATTGTCTATGATGAAGCAATCAAGGCAGGGGCAAAACAACAAAACATGGAACAGTAACTCTGTAACAGACTAAATATTTGCTCACAGACAATCATAGGCTTCTTCCTTCCTGGATGACATCCTGTGGAGGAACTCACAAAACATCAGGAGCAAGAAAGAGTAAGTGCTAGCTTCCTAGAAGGTCAAGGATGCCTTACTGAAGGAAGAGGGAACTCTTGACTGCTTTAGAGAAATAAACTCATCATAAAGTTTTTTTTTAGAATCAGCATTCAGTTAAACCTGCTCATTAGTAGTCACTATTTCACAGGATCAAAGCCTTTTGAGAAGTGCCATTGGAATGCAGACTCCTGCACTTGGATGTCCAAAATGTTAAGTCATTTAGGCATATGTGCTCTAAGAGAGGCACTGGCCCATTTGTTTCATTTCTAGCTTGCACTCCACTCATTACTCTCTGGGAAATGATGCTATTCTGCAATTAAATGGCCCATTTGGCAGTGAAAGGAAGGATGGAATGTGAGCACCAGGACCAAGTGGCCAGTTGAAGGGCTATAAAATTGAACTACATATCAGTACAAAGGATCTGGTTCTTTTTTTAAATTGTAAAAATAATGCATACATGTTATCTAAAAATGTAATTCATATAGAAATATAGTAAAAAGGAAAGTTATTCACAATCCAACCCCTCCATGATAACCACTATTGATAGGCATATCTTTATTTCAGACCCTTTTCTATATGTATGCCTCACCTATATCATCTGTATATGTGAGTAAATATTAAGTATTTGTGTTTTCTGAAATGGGTATTCAACTCTGTATGATACTGCACAATATGATTTCACTTATCTGGAGTACAGTCTACTACTAGCACTGGGAAGAAAACTTGATCTCCCTCATTTCTAGACCCAGGTCTTCCTGAGCAGTTTCCTGCCAGAGTAATGCCAGGCCCTCCCTAAGAGAGCCTACAGTGGTACCAACAGAACTGAGGAGGACCCTCCCTTTAGCTCCAGGAATATATAGTGTGGTGTCAATTTGGGGTTTCTGTAAGGATTCCCTGCTGCTTTTCTGTCAAGCCCTAGTGCCCAGGTTCACAGTTAGGAATGTTGCTCCCAGCTTAAAGATGATCATGACCATGTCAAGCAAGCCCTAAAGGGGTCCATAGATTTGTTTTTATACTGCTGTGAGTGTGTGTGTGTGTGTGTGTGTGTGAGAGAGAGAGAGAGAGAGAGAGAGAGAGAGAGAGAGAGAGAGAGAGGGAGGATGGGAGAGGGGGGTAATACACAGAATTAGTTCACTTTCCCTTTGTGAACCAATGCACGTATGGAGAATTCTGGTCTGGTGGCAGCCATTTATGCCTTACTCCCTTCCCAAAAGGCTTTGCAGCTTCTGTAGGCCTGCATATAGCATCACTAACATTGATCTGTTGCCATTCAGCTGATTAAAAACACAAGCCTCTCCATTATGACTGATACCAGCTTTTTCCAACAGAAATCTCAGATTTGGAAAATAGTATGGAGGTTCCTGGAAAAAAAAAAATGGAACTGCCCTATGACCCAGCCATTCCACTTCTGTGCATTTACCTAAATAAACTCAAAACACTAATTCATAATAATATATGCACCCTTATGTTCATTGCAGCATTATTTACAATAGCCAAGATATGGAAGCAACCCAAGTGCCCATCAGTAGAAGAGTGAATAAAAATGGTGGTACATATATAAAATTTTATATTATATAAAAATTTATACAGTAGTATAAATTTACTAAAACTCATCAATCAATATATGAAATAAGTGAATTTACTATATGTGAATTATACTTTATGCTTTATTTGGTAAAGCAGTTATGAAATATATAAACAAAAAGAAAGCTCAGTAAATCTGTCTAGTGGTCACAACAGAAGAAGGCTGCCATCCGGAAGCCACTCATCCAACACATACACACGTTTAAGGAGGGGGACAAGGTTAACCCCACTCCAGTGTACATGTACGCATCAGCATCCTAAAGTAAGCAACATTGGGGAGGGGGGAGAACCAGATTAGGAAGGTAAAATTGTTTTTGAATAGAGGTGTGCTCTCTTCCCCACAGATCTGCACCAGTGATGTGGAATGTCTCATGGGCAGACTTCAGCATACCTTCAAGCAAGAACTGACTGGAGTTGGAGCCAGTCTAGAGAAGAGATGGAAGTTCTGTGGCTTTGAGGGCTTGAAACTGACCTAAATTCATCTACCTAACAACCAGGGATCCTGAAAACAAATATGTGTTGAACAAGCTTAGAAAGTGATTCGTATTTTCAATGGTTTCCAGTGGAAATTACTTTAAAATTGTTAATTCATTCCTGGATTCTATTTTGATTTAAAATAAGGATCCTAGAGCAGCACCTCAAGCTACAGACCCTAAAAAGAAATTTACTCAAACCTCAAGTGCTGTAACTTTCTCCCTTTCTGTTAATTGTCTTTTTAATTAGTAGTATTGAAAAAGGCCTGAGGCCAAAGAATATTTGGGGTGTTTTTGATGTCTGTACTACTGTTGTAAACTTCAGTATGTTTTTAAACTGTTAACGGAAATATTTGGATGATTGTGCGTGGTTTGTGTTTCAAAAGTTCTCTTCACATTAATGTTGCTACTGGTGAGAGGAAAGTGAGGAGCACTAGATACTCCATAACTGATGTTGTCTTTCCAATCCCTAGTAAGTGAATAACATATCGGTCTTTAGAAGGTTTTGACCAGGTTCACCTTTTAAAAGACAAAGCATGATATGTGGCTTTTATAAATTACTGTCAAACAAAAGTTGACAACTGTTCCGAACTTATTTTCTCTAATATAGCAAGTAAAAAGTTTATTTCAGAATTAAAAAAAAACAAAACACAAATCTCCATGTATGTGCAGAAAGCAAGTCTCCAGTATGACTGGCATGTGTATGTGCTATTTAGAATCACCCTATAAATAGTCTGCTTTTAAAGGAGGGAATGTTTAGTTTTCTATGAGTTATAACACGTGTGTGCATGTACGCATATGCACACACGCATTAGCAAAAGGGATTTATTTTAATATGTTTTCCCTCTGGCCTTTGTACAGAATCTGTTGGTCCCTTTTCTTCTACTGTCAGTGTTGAATTGCAAAGTATGTACTGCTGTAAATACTATGTTTACTTCATGCTGAATGTTTGCAAAGAGTTGATATGAGTATTAGTAGAAAACTCTTGGTAATGAATGAATACTGGGCCAATGTATGTGAGGCTTCCTGCAAATAGGTCAGCTCCACCTGAAGTGTCAGGGACACCTCCAGATTGCAGTGTCAGTGTGGGTGGACCAGTCAGGAGGTCCTACTTGGTGGAAGAGAAAGGGGAAAATGAGGATTTGGGGCTAATCTCCTGAGGCATAGATGATCTTTTTTCTTTTTTGGTATTGGTGGTGCTTATAAGAACATAAGCATGCCCTCCCTTGAACTTTGATTCAAAATAACTGAATGTACTAAGTAAGCAAAGCTGATGAAGAGTATTTCAGGAAAACACTTTGTAAATGAGATGTCAGTAGTGTTCAAAGTTGTATTTTTGAAAAATAAATATTCCTTTTTTATAATTCACTTTGATACTCTGTTTTGAATTACTTGTTCTCTAAGTAATCCTTCAGTAAGTCATTTCAGTTTCTTTCAGTTACCAGGATGTTGGAAGAAGATGCTAAACTTGCTGCCTTGACAACTAGAAATAGGGTTCCATGACAGCCCATTCATGCTGAAGTTGGCTTTACCCTCAAGCACCCAGCTGTTGCACCAGCAGGAAACTACCATGTTTCCCCGAAAATAAGACATCCTCTGAAAATAAGACCTAGCGCATGGAAAGATAAGACATCCCCTGAAAATAAGACCTAGCGCAACTTTGGGAGAAAAGGTTAATATAAGACACTGTCTTATTTTCGGGGAAACAGGGTAGGTTTATTTTTACACTAGCTGCCTCACTGAAGCATCTCTGTCATCAATACTACAGAAGGCTTTTATCCATCTGTCTAAAGGGTCCTGAAATGTATTATTTTAACAATATCTATGAACTCAAGGGAAATTTGCCACTTATAAATTATTTCATTTTTACACATGCTTAAAAGATATTTTAACTTTATTTTTATTGTTGACATGATTAAAGATATCCCCATTCCCCACCCCTTTGCCCACCTCCACTCAAACCTCGCCCCACTCCTTCCCTCTGGCCATCACCACACTGTTGTCTGGTTCTATGGGTTTTCTTTGGCTGATCCCTTCACATGCTTTTATCCAGTCTTCCTCACTTTTGTTCCATGTATCCATGCCTCTGTTTCTATTTGCTCTTCAGTTTATTTTCTTAATTAGAATCCACATATAGGTGACATCATATGGTATTTGTCTTTCTCTGACTGCCTTATTTCACTTAGCAAAATAATTCCCAGGTACATTCATACTGTTGCAAAAGATGAGGTTTCCTTGCTTTTTAAGACCGCATACTATTCCATTGTACAATAGCCTTTTTATCCACTCATCTACTGATGAACATGGGCTTTTTTAAGATATTGGCTATCGTAAATAATACTGCTATGAACACAGAGTTGCATATATTCTTTCAAATTGGTGTTTCAGAATTCTTAGGATATATTTGTTCTAGATGTGTGAAACATTCTATTACAATGGTTCTCAACCTTTCTAATGCCATGACCCTTTAATACAATTCCTCATGTTGTGCTGACCCCCAACCATAAAATTGTTTTCATTGCTACTTCATAACTGTAATGTTGCTACTGTTAATGAATCGTAATGTAAATATCTGTGTTTTCTGATGGTCTTAGGTGACCCTGCTAGTCAACTCCACCTGAAGTGTCAGGGACACCTCCAGATTGCAATGTCAGTGTGGGTCACCTCTAATTGCCTCTGCTACTGACCTGATCGCTCTTCACTGCCTCTGTGTACCAGCCTAATTGCCCCTAACTGCCCCCCCCTGCTGGCCTGGTCACCCCTAACTGTCCCCTGCTGCCAGTCATGTTGCCTCCAAATGCCCCCTCCATTCTGGCTTGGTTGCTCCTAACTGTCCCCCACTGCTGGCCTGGTTGCCCTTAACTGTCCCCCCATGGGCCTAGTCACCCCTCTCAGGTCCCCCTGCCAGCCTGGTCATTCCTCACAGCCCCTCCACTGGCCTGGTCACCCCACACAGCCTGCTTGTTCAGTCTATTGGTTGTCCCTCACAAACCCCCCTGCCAACCTAGTTGTCTCACACAGCCTGCTTGTTCAGTCATTTTGTCATCCCCCACTAACCTGCCTCCCAGACTGGTCACTCCACACAGCCTGTTTGTAAAATCCTTTGGTCGTCCCTCACTAACCCCCCCTGCCAACCTGGTTGCCCCATGCAGCCTGCTTGTTCAGTCACTTGGTCATCCCTTGGGCTTGCCTGTGCCTCGGGCTGGCCTTGGGTAGCTGAGAGGCTGAGGGAACTGGGTGCCTTATAGCTGTGGGCACCACCATCTTTGAGGGCATGGCAGTCAATTAGCATATTCCCTCCTTATTGGCTGTGGCACTGCCATTTTTTGTCAGGGTGTGATCGTCAATTAGCATATTTCCTCTTTATTACATAGGATCTTTATATTCTCAAAATATAAACTGCATGTGTAGTAGCTCCATTTTATAGATGAAAAACCCAAATCTTAGAGAAATTAAATAAATTTCCACCAATATCTGCTAAAATCTATGTGTATCTATCCACCAACACTGAACTAAGAGGTAGTAATACAGAGATGAACTCAAAGCAGACCCTTGAGGAGCTTTAATTCAGTGAAGGGGACAAACATCCCCCCATGCTCCTTTCCCCATGCAAAGAACATCATTTCTAGTGTAGTAGGTGCTAATATGGAGAAAGAGAACTATTAGGGGGATGCGGGATAGGGTGGGATGACAGGGAGACCTAACCTAACCTGCTGGTTGGGGAAAGGACCCCTAAGAGGTTCGGTTAGTTACAGGTTCCAGAGCAAGGAAATAACCAAGCTGGAACTGGAACCTATGCATTCTGATTCCAAAGCTGGTGTTTTTTCATGAGCTGAGCTTCCCAAGGGCTTTGCAACTAGAAAGGGCTTAAAGTCATTTCTGGAAGCATAACTTCAATCACACCAGGAATAAAACCATATAGCTCTTCGATTTTCAATAAAACTCTCAGTTGATACATGCTTAATACATGCAAATTTGCTTTAGCACATGAAAAGTAATTAGCTATGACAACTGAAACATGAGATAATTCAGTATGTAAACCTGAAACAGTTTCTTCCTACTACTGACCACGTTATTATGCTCAAATGTTCTCTCCACACATATCAATTTTCTAATCTTGCTTCCTTTGAATCTTGCCTTGGCCATAGGTATTTATCTCTTCTTTCCTGCTATGCTGGTAAGCAGGCTCTCTGAATGGATGGGTAGAAAAAAGGAAAACAAAAGTGATTCTCGGAGAGACCATACAACTTTGTTGTAAATTCAAAGACACATTTCTACTATAGTCTCACCATCTGTTTTAAAGATGTCTGGGGGAAAAAAGTGTATGATTGGGGTTGGTAATAGCTACATGGGCTGAAACAGAAAGGATTATTCAGGACAGCTATACTTTAAATGTTTTTCTTCTTGTCTCCTCTGCTCCCTGACCTCCCACTGCAAGCCGCCTAATCCCCCATCCACCCCATTCCATCCCCAAAGAAAGTCCTAAGCATTTTTGAAGATGAATTACTTCCCTTTTCAGGGTCTCGAACTAAATTTTAGCATTGTATTTACCATAATTTGCAGTGCTCATGTTTTATTTGAATACTAGAGGCCCAGAGCATGAAAATTCATGCACTGGAGGGGGGTCCCTCAGCCAGGCCTCCTGCCCCCTCTTACAGTCCAGAAGCCCTCAGGGGTGGGAGGCAACCCAGCAATTGGGAAGGCGACGCCCCATCACATCTCTGTGGCTGCCACTGCTGGCAGCCCAAGCCTCAGTAGGCCCTGGTTACCTGAGCCTCGGGTAACCCTGGGTGGCAGGGCAGTTGCCATCCAAGGCTTGCCTGTGCCTTGGACCAGCCCTGGGTGGCTGGGGGGCTGAGGAGACTGGGCACTGCCATCTTGTGGCTGTGGGCACCACCATCTTTGAGGATGAGGCAGTCAATTAGCATATTCCCTCCTTATTGGCTGTGGGCACCACCATCTTTGCAATGGCATAAGGGTCATTTGGCATATTCCATCTTTAT